CACTTTATTTCCCATTCCCGACGCACTCAGCTGATGTGATGTGACGTGACTGCGGCATGAGAGAGGAACCCCTATGAGGAGCTGCTGGTGCCCTGCAGTGCCCTATGCCCACGGCGCATACTGGACACCATTGCATGGAATGAGAGCCCAGCACAGAAACGTTGGGTGCAGGAGCACAGCCAGTGCTGGGAGCTCCAGAATGCCACCCAAACGGGTGCCAAACCAGCCCAGAGCGGTGCAAGCAACTTGATTTATTTCTTACCAGCTGGGTTTTACTGCTGAATGCTGCATTGCCCTGTGCTCAGCTGACCCTGTCCTGTTGGGACACAGGAAAATAGCCTCTGTGTGGTTTGCATAACGAGAGCTTTCTCCTTTGCTCCCTTTCCTACTATGAGGACCATGGCTGTGAGCAGAGCAAAGCGGCTCTTCCCTGGCCCATTCTTGCCGCATTACTCACCCTGCCTCTGGCCTCCATCCATCTGACAAGGGCCCAGGCTGGGGCAGCCTGCAGCGGGTCTCAGGGAGCAGCGGGGGACAGGGCTGTCCCCCACAGGTGGGGCATCTGCACAGTATTTGGGGCTGTGAATGCAGCGAGAGAACAGAGGTGACCGCAGCCCACCTTCAATCACAGGGCACTGGGAAGAAGTGACTGCAGGAAGAGCTCTCCCAATGCCAGAACCACCTCCTCTCTCCCATGGCCCACTCAGCCATGGGTTCCCAGGCAGATCCCTTCATCTCTTCCCCACTAACGCTGCTGACGAAGGCCAACAACACAGCCCTGGGCAATGAGCTGCAATGAGATCTCCTTGGGCTGCACTGACGTGTAGGACGGTGCCACCTGGCCCTGTGCCTGCCCAGGGCCGTCACGGGGCTGGAGGTGACCCCACAGCAGCAAACCAAGCTTCCCAGCACTATGCGGTTGGACTTGATGATCTTTAAGGTCTTTTTCAACCTGAACAGTTCTGTGATTCTACAACGGGAGGGGAACGTGGTCCCAATACTGCTGTGTCACCTGCTGGGCTTCCCCATTTGCTTTGCTGAATGCAGTTCTAGCCCCCCAGGACTGCAGCAGCTCCAATTCCCCACTCTAAGCTCAGGATTTTGGTGCAGAGTGTTTGGGTTGATGCATCTGGACCTCTTGAAATAGAGCTGCTGCTACAAGCAGGGGATGGCAGCACAGCATTCCTGGGCCTTGATTCACGGCAGGTATTAAGGGCAGAGATCTTTGCTCCACAAGAGCTGCCCAGGGGCAGAAGCAGAGATTCACCACCCCAAAGTTTAAACTGCAAAATGTGTGGGGAGAGTTCTGGGCTGACTGAACCGTGTGGGGAAAAAAGCTTCGGGACAAAAGCATCAGCAGCAGTGCCCTATCTCAGCTCTGCCAGCCGGCAGCATCACTGCAAAACAGAGGTGTTACTGATGGGGGTCAGCTCCAAACGGGAGACCTGCAGGGAGCTGAGGGCAGCGGGGTATAAACACAGCACACAGACATGGGGCTGCTGTGGGACGGCACTGGGGCAGGAGATCCACGGCTGCACTGCCAGCTCCTGCAAAGGTCAAATGCCAGGAATACTCCTGCAGACCAAGGGCTGCTACGGGTGAGGGTGCAAAGCAGATTAAGGGCCTAAACGTGACCTCTGGAGCCAGAGCCACCACGATCTGCTGCAAGAGAAGGTTAACTGGGAAACGCTTTTGGGTTTTAATCCTTAAAATCAAACGGTCACGGAAAGGATAAGAATTAAACTTAGCTGGATCAGAGGGAAAGCCAGGCTGCCGGCTGCTGCACTGGCCCAGCTCTGTTTCCACCGCTGCGGGGTCGGAACGGGGCCGGCGGAGCGGCGCAGCCCCAATCCGGGCCGGGTCACGGCACGGCACGGCACGGCGCCCGCCCATCCCTCAGCCAGCACAACGGGCCGGGACGGCGGCGCTGCGCCACGGTCGCGGGCTCCCGGCAGCACCCGCGGCAAAGCGGAGCGCGGGGAACGGAACCGAGGTCCCTCCACCAAGCAGGGAGCGGCGCCGCTCCCGCACCAGGACCCCGCACCAGGACCCCGCACCAGGACCCCGCACCAGGACCCGCCGCAAACCCCGTCCGCACAGCGCGCAGCTCCGCTTCCGGCCCCGGACCCCGCGCCCCCACGTGCGGCGGGTCGGCGGGCCCGGCCCCGCCCCCGCGCCCCGCCCGCCAATCGGCGCCCGCCTCCGCCGCGCGGCCTTCACGCCCTTCACCACCAATCGGAGAGGCGCGAGGCGCGCCGCCACCTCCCCATTGGCCGAGCCGCGCTGCCCGTCCCCGCGGCGGCCCCGCCCCCTCCCCCGCCCTGAGGCGCCCGGGCGGCGGCGCCAAGGACACGGCGAGCGGCCACCGCCCCCCGGCCAGCCGGCCCCGGCCCGCCCGACCCCGTCGCCCCCCGCCCGCCTCGGCCCGGTCCGGCCCGGTCCGGCCCGACCCCGCCCCGCCGTCCACCGGCCCGGTACCTGCCGGCCCGCCCGTGCTCCCCGCTCGCGGCCCCGACTCTGACAGCGGCCCCCAACCGCCGGCTGCCGCCCAGCGTCGCCCCGCCCCGCCCTTACGTCACCGCGTCGCCCCGCCCCCACACCAAACCACGCCCATCACAGGCCACGCCCCCTGGTTGAGCTGTGCCCCGCCGCGCATGCGCGCTGCTCGGAGCTCCCGCAGCCGCGGGGGCAGAGCGGGGGGGTCTGCGGCACTTCCACCCCTTCCCCGGGTTGGGGTATCCGGGTGTGCGGGGTTTCCGCCTTGGGGGCGTTTGCTGTGGGGAGGGAACTGCACCATGTCGTGAGGACGTCTAAAATGGGGACATCCATCCATAGAGACCATGATGTGGGGACATCCGCCGTGTGGTCACCCACCTCCAGGGGCAGCCACGGGGATATCCACCGTGGAGACACCTGCCGTGGTGTGGGGACATCCGCTGCCACAGGGACATCCACAGTGAGGAAATCCAGCATGGGGACATCCTGGGAACAGAGACATCCTGGTGGGAGGGGACATCTGCTCGTGGGGTGCATCGACATCCACGTGTGACACGGCGGCACAGGGACCGCTCCAGCTCTGAGTCACATCCTGTGGGGCCAATGACACCATTTGGGAAGTGAAACGGCCGCAGGAAAACACACAGCCGCCCCACACACGCACATCCCCAGCCAACGTGGCGCAAACGCGTGGGAGCCGGCGGGGCGGCCTGGGCATCCCATAGGATAGCAATGGGGACGTGGGGCCTGGGCAGCAGAGAGACCAAGAGGACAGCATCCCAAAGACACGTCCCAAAGTGGGACGTGTGGGGTCCCTGTGGCTGCCGGCAGGAAGCAGAGGGGCTGGGTGGGGAAACGGGACAGTGGCAGCGCTTGCATCACTGGCCCCTTTTGGGGAATCCGGCCTTGCTGCAGCCCTGACGAGAGCTGCCGTCATCTGGGCATTGGTGGCCATGGGGCATCCCCAGTGTGTCAGCCCAGCCAGCACACGAGAGATAGACCCCAAGCATTGCCCCACTCTGTGCACCACAATGGCCCCAAAACATCACCCTGCTGGGCCCCACACTGATCCCAAAGCATCGCCCAGCTGGGCCCCACACCAATACCAAAGCATCGCCTTGCTGGGCCCCACACCAATCCCAAAGCATCGCCCTGCTGGGCCCCACACTGATCCCAAAGCATCACCCAGCTGGGCCCCACACCGATCCCAAAGCATCACCTTGCTGGGCCCCACACCGATCCCAAAGCATCGCCTTGCTGGGCCCCACGCCGATCCCAAAGCATCGCCCTGCTGGGCCCCACACTGATCCCAAAGCATCACCCAGCTGGGCCTCACACTGATCCCAAAGCACCATCCTTCTGGGCCCCACACTGATCCCAAAGCACCACCCTGCTGGGCCCCACATTGATCCCAAAGCATCACCCAGCTGGGCCCTACACCGATCCCGAAGCACCACCCTTCTGGGCCCCACACCAATCCCAAAGCAATGCCCTTCTGGGCCCCACACCAATCCCAAAGCAACGCCCTGCTTGGCCCCACACCGATCCCAAAGCAATGCCCTGCTGGGCCCCACACCGATCCCAAAGCATCGCCCTGCTGGGCCCCACACTGATCCCAAAGCACCATCCTTCTGGGCCCCACACTGATCCCAAAGCACCAGCCTGCTGGGCCCCACACTGATCCCAAAGCACCACCCTTCTGGGCCCCACACCAATCCCAAAGCATCACCCAGCTGGGCCCCACACTGATCCCAAAGCACCGCCCTGCTGGGCCCCACACTGATCCCAAAGCATCGCCTTGCTGTGCCCCACAACAATCCCAAAGCACCGCCCTGCTGGGCCCCACACTGATCCCAAAGCACCGCCCTGCTGGGCCCCACACTGATCCCAAAGCACCGCCCTGCTGTGTGGTCCACACTGACTCTGAAGTGTGGCCCAACTGAGTCCCACGTTGATCCCAAAACATCATCCTGCCAGACACCATGCTGACCTCAAAGCATGGGCGAAAAGCATGCTCTGAGCTCTACAATAAGCATGGCTCCATTGCATTCTACATCAACCCCAAATGACGGCCCCACTGCAGCTCATGCCAATCCCAAGTCATCGCTCCACAGTATGCCATACTGACCCCAAATCATGGCACCACTGAGTCTCATACTAACCCCAAAACTTGGCCCCACTAAGCCGCAAAGCACGTGCACAAAGCATGCTCTGAGACCTGCAGTGACCCCAAAGCACAGCCCCACTGAGCCCCACAGCGCCCTGCACAACACAGCAGAGGTGGTGCCGGTGCCCGCGGCGCTGCGTGCTGCAGACACGAAACTCAGCAATCCCCAGGCGTGTTGCGAAACATGGAAATCCCGCACGGCAGCTGCTTCCTTCCAGCGCTCCTTGAAAATGCGTCGCTCAGCAGCCGGGCTCAGAGCACCCTGAAAGCAGCGGGAGGAGCAGAAGCACAGCACTGCGGACTGCCTTCACCCTCAGATTTCACATTGGGCGCAGAGATGGCGTTTGTTCCCGACCTGGACGTGCTGGAGAGCAGCAAGTGAGTGCTGAGACGGGCTGGGGGCTCACTGCGGGTCTGAGCTTCACGCGGCTCAAAGCTCACCATTCGCTTTGCCTTCCAGCCTCAGCGAGGAGACTTTCTACGGCCCCTCCTGTCTCTGCCTTCAGAAGGTACGGATGGGAGGGCTCGGTGGCTCGGTGGCTCGGTGGCTCAGTGGCACGGTGCCATGGCAGCGCAGGGTGCTCAACTGCAGCTCTCTCCCTGCAGAAACCTCGCCTGGATTCTGAGCACACCGCGGTGGGCGTGCAGGTGACAGTGAGGAAGGGCCGCGGTGCCCGGAGCTTCCGGCAGGCTGCCGTGCTGGTGGTGGCCATGACCAAGCTGCTGCGGAGGCCGAAGCACAGGGACTTTGCTGACAGCGACCTGAGCGCACTCCTGGAGGAGGTTTTTGGTAGGAGCGTGGTGCTGGAGGAGGAGGAGGGATGGTTGCTGGGGTGTTGTTGCCACCTGCTGACCTCCTGTCCCCTGCAGAGCCCGTCACCTTCCAGCGGCTGGAGAGCAGCTACGCCGGGGCACCTGCCTTCCGCTACACCCGCTCACAGTCCTTTGACATCTTTGACATCAACCAGAAGTGTTTCGTGCTGGAGTCGCCCACACAGCTGGTGGCCCTGCACCTCCAGGGGCCCTCCTCCAGCCAGAAAGGTGAGGGCACTGCACCCTTGTCCCTGCTCCTACCCCCTATCCCTGTCCCTACCCCCACCCCACAGCACGCCCGCTGACCCGTCCCTTCTCCCCACAGTGAGGCTCAACATTGCACTGTACCGGCCCCGAGGCCCACGGGGCAGCGCTGGAGCTGGGCAGACACCAGTGGCACTGGGCATCAAGGGCTACAACCTCTACATGTCGTGTGTGCTGAGCGGCACCGAGCCCATGCTGCAGCTGGAGGTGAGCATCCCACGTCCCCATCCCACCCTCACTTCCCCACCCGGCCGCCGCCGCCACCCGCTGAGCCTCCCTGCGTCTCCATTGCAGGAAGCCGACGTCACGCGGGACATCGACAGCGCCGAGCTGACCCGCTTCATCTTCTACCGCCTGGACAGCCCGGCTGAGGGCACCACGCGCTTCGAGTCGGCCGCCTTCCCCGGGTGGTTCATCTGCACCTCCCTGCAGCCCCGGCAGCCCGTGGGCATCACCAACCAACCCGACCAGGTCAACATTGCCACCTACACGCTGCTGAGCGGGCGCTGAGTGCCTGCCCGAACCCAAACCGGCCCGTTGCTGGTTTCCACACCGTATGTACCAAGTACAAGCCCTGCTGCCCCGCCACGCTGTTCCACGTGGGATAGCTGCTCTGGGCCCCGTGGGCCTGAGTCAAACATTGTTTATGCTTCGTTATGTTTCACTGCTTTTAACTTACATTTTTACTTATATTATTTACCATAATTACGATGGTTTTTGTTTCATCTCCCCTTCTTGGGGTGGAGGTATTTATTGCGACTGGAGAAATAAACCAGAAAGAAAAGCTTCCCTGTGGACGCGAGTCTCAGTGTGTGCCTCTGGGGGTGGGGGGGCGGAGGAGAAGCGCTCCCACAGCAGGGAGCACAGCAGGGCCCGGCGGCCCACCGCAGGCTGCCTCCTGGGGCAAAGACTGGGGGCTGCAGGGTCCCCACCTCTGCTTAAGAGCCCCCATTCCCTCCCAAAGCCACCCCTCCGCAGCCCACCTTAAAGACCCGACCCGACCCGACCCGACCCCGCCCCGCCCCGCCCCGCCCCGCTCCTCTCCGCCGCACCCGCTTTCTCACACAAACGAATGCGATTGGTCGACCCGCCCTTCCGGCCCCACCCGTGGCTCCCGTTGTACCCGCCCCATCCGCTCGCTTCGCCCAATCGCAGCTCACCGTCTCCGTCTCGCCCCCCCCCCCCCCCCCCCGGCGTTCTCCATTGGGCGGTTTGAAAGAGGCGGTGGCCAATGGGCGTGGGGCGGCGGTTGGGGCGGGTTTGTGGACATGGCGGCGGCTGCGCAAGGTGAGCGCTGGGAGCGGAACCGCGGAGCGGGGATCCGAGCCCGGCCGGGGGGCCGGAATCAGACGCGGGGGTGCGGGGAGCCTGGGCCGGCTGTGCATCCCGATCTTTGGGGAGGCGACCTGGGGGGTGACCGCGAAAGGAAGCAGCTGGAAAGAGCGTACCTGGGAGCAGCCCTGCGCAGAAGGACCTGGGTGGTGAAAAGCTGAACGTGAGGCTCCATCTGCAGCACTGCGACCAGGGCCGGAGCCCCCAGTACGAGAAAGACAGGGAACTGTCGGAGAGGGTCCAGAGGAGCCACGAAGATGAGCAGGCGGCTGCAAAGACATACTGAGGGAGCTGGGCTTGTTCAGCCTGGAGAAGAGAAGGCTGTGGGGTGAACTCACTGCAGCCTTCAGCACCTAAAGGGAGCCTACAAACAGGAGGGGAGTCAACTCTTTGAAAGGGGAGATAACAGCAGGACAAGGGGAAATGGTTTGAAGTTGGAGGAAAGATTTCAGTTGGATGTCAGGGGGAAGTTGTTTGCTGTGAGAGCAGTGAGGTGCTGGAACAGCTGCCCAGAGAGGCTGTGGATGCCCCGTCCATCCCTGGAGGTGTTCAAGGCCAGGTTGGATGGGGCTCTGGGCAGCCTGGTCTAGCATTAAATGAAAAGGTTGGCCCTGCATGTGGCAGGGGGTTGGAGCTTGGTGATCCTTGAGGTCCCTTCCAACCCTGGCCATTCTGTGAAGTGGGGGCTGCAGAGGTGAGAAGGAATGCAGTGCTGGGGAGCACTGGGCTGAGCTGGGTGCACCCAGAGCCCCCAGTGATCACTGTGAGTTGGGCCTTACTGCCCTGTGTGAAAGCAGAAAGCAGAAAGGTGGAGAGCCAGTCTTTAGGTGATGCGATAGGGATATGATGAGGGGAAATGGAGCTCGGATGGGGCGGCAGCCTGGGGAAGCTGTGGGTGCCCTGTTGCTGGTGGTGCTCACAGGCAGCACCTCACCTGTCCTACAGACCTGCAAAGCTCCACACGACTGAGCTCTGGGCAGCTTTGTGCTATAAGCACCAAACAGCTCTTCTTGTTCAGCGGGCTGCAGGCAGTGCCTCATGTGTGCTGGGGGTCTGCGAGCAGCACTGTGCTCCAGCAGGGAGCTCGGTGATAATGCTCATCCCCAGAGCTCCGAGGGCTGTGTGTGCACTACATTTTCCTACTGTTTCTTTGCAGAAGAGCGGAGAAGAAAGCTCCAGGAGTACCTGCAGGCCAAAAGGAAGCTGAAATGCCCCGGTACCAAGTAAGTCGGGGTGCAGCTGTCTCTGCATCGCCAGCACCTGCCTTCTTGCTGTGTTGGCTAGCTAATGAGAGCAGCCTCGGCCCCGTGCCAGCTGTCAAAGCTGAGACTGGGACAGCTCCTGCAGTGTCCTGGCACTGCTCTGCTGTTACTGGCAGCATCAACACAGACGTGGTTTGAGTGTTGATATTTCCTGCTCTTTAATACCATGTCTGCTGGGTGTCTTCTGAATCTCCATGAAGCTTTTTCATCCCAGGCTTTGGGTTTGCAGGACAGCCTTTGGTTGCATTACCAGCTTCGTGCAGCAGAAAGGCAGTCCAATTTTGAGTGCTGCATTTTAGCAGCTTTCTAGGGTAGAGTAATATTAGGAAGGGACATCTTCAGCCCTTTTAAAAGCAACCGGAGAGAAGCTCATTGCCACACTTGACCTGTTAAGTGAGTTCCCATCATGTCCTGCTCAGCCCATCAGCTGCAGGAAGCGCTTTGATCTCTTTTCTCGTCAGTGGAAGTTGTGAGTTATGCAACAGTCTTTTGTGTCACTTTTCCGTTGCCATGTGGAAGGAAAAGAAATATTACGTGGTTCTTCCTTGACAGCTTTTAGACTTCAAAACGCTTCTCATCAGCTCTGGTGGCTGTGGCAATCAGAAGCACTTTAGGTATTTCAACTTTTCTGGAACAGCTGCTCAATGCTCGCATAACTTGTTTCTGCAGGACCTATTTAAAGGACCGGACCAATCACCTGGATCTGCTCTCAAAACCAGTTTCTAAACCAGAACATGTAAGTAGAAGAGAACTCTTTTCAGTCTGGTTTTGTATCTCGTGCTTGAAGTGTGTCCAGGCAGAATGGGGTACACAAGCCAGGACAGTGAGTTCCTCACCCTAGGCAAGCAGTAGTCAACACATTGCTAAACATCTGGCCCTAAGACAACTAACGAGTTTTCAGAGGAACTTAAGCTGAGAGAATTGTCCTTAGTCCTGGTGCTGGGTGTTACACTGGGCTTGCTTTCCCCTGCAGGGCTTTGTGCACATCCCCTGGGCTGGTGGGGCTGCGATAGGAGTGAGCTGATGGGGTGTGACTGAGCTGAGCTCTGCTCTGGGCCCTGTCTGAGGTTCTTTGTTTCTGCAGCTTGACAGGAACAAGAAGGGCGCTGTCCAAAACGTAGCAAAAGGCACCTGGAAGGATGGCAAGCTTGCTGCCAAACCCGCACATCCAGCTGCACACGCTGCGCTGCAGCAGTCTTCACGTGCATCGCAGAGAGTAGCAGTGATACGGCCACAGCAGCTGGGAAAGGACACAGAGCTGCCTGCAGGGCTCGTTCTGAGCGCAAACCCCTCTGCACAGCCCAGAGGGAGGCTCCCAACTTCTGCCTCTTGTCTCCTAAACCCTGGAAGGCCGGAGAAGACTGGAAGTGGCCAGCATGTGCCCGGGGCACCTTGCTCCCTGAATGAGGGCCTGCAGGAGCGGCTTGGCTGTGGCAAAGCACAAGCAGCTACAAAGCCTGCGCCCAGCAACACTTTTCAGACTAATGGGAACAATCTGGGGAAAAAGAGAGCCTTGGCTCATGGGCAGAGCTCAAGCACTGTGTCAAGGACTGGTAAGGGCCCAAAGGACAGAATTAATAGCTGCCAGACTAAGGAAGTGCTGATGCAGGAGAAATTCAGGAAACCCCTGCCAGGCTCAAAAAGTGCATCCCAAAAACCAAATGGCACAACTCGGCCATTGCAACCCCCTCAGTTACTTGCTAATTCTACACATTTGCTACATAAAAAGCCAGTTGTAAAACAGGAAGAAAACAATGCAGCAAGGAAACCTGTGGGAAAGCGTGGCACATCTCTGGGAACTCTTAAGCACTCCAATAGAGCTCCTGCAAAGCCCTCAGCCTCCAGCCGGCCCCAGGGCACCACAAATGGGCCCATGAGGACACCTAGTCTGAAGCTGTGCACCACAGTGCAGTGGCAAAGACCCACGATTAAAGGGGGAGCAGACAGGAGGGACGTGAAGACAGCACCTTCTGGACACACAGCAATATCCCAAGCGGGAGTCCCCAAAAAACAGTCTCTTCCCAACACTTACAGCTCCAGATCTCAAGGAAATCGGGGTGAATTTGGGAGCAGGAGGGAGATGCATAAACCAGAGCTGTCACAGACACATGGAGTGCATGCTGGGCGTGTTCCCAAGAGCCCAACACCGGAAGATCGTAGGTAAGTGGCATCCTTGGCTGACTGTTCTCCCCTCCAGGGGACAGCAGAGTGAGGCACTGAACCACGTGAGCCAGCTGCAGGCTGCAGGACCCAAGCTGTAGTCTGAACTGTTGGGATGCTGCAGCACAGAGGAGGGTGAGGGTGAAGTTTGGTGTCCTCTGGGTTCCTCATTTCCCCCATGTGATAACTGATTGCCTGCAGACAGCAGTGAGTGAGCAGTGTCTGAAGAGGCAGCCTTGTTGCTTCGTGCTGCCTCTCCAATTTTATCTTCAGGACACACTTAAATTTGGGAGGGTTTGCGTCTCCCAGCCTGGCTCGGTTGTGATTCTTAGAGCAGAAGTTCTTCCCGAGCAGCTAGAAATCCAAAGGGCAGATGGGCAGCAGCCCAGCAAGTGCCAGTGGTCTGTGGTGGTAACAGTGATCCCTTGGTCCTTTCACAGGAGACAGCTGGAGCAGTGGCTGGCCTCCAAGGGCAAGTGCTACAAGCGGCCACCTATGACGCTGCCCCCAAAAAAGCCAATGAAACAGAAGGAGAAGCCTCCCCACAGGAGCACTGTGCAGGAGGAGCAAAAGCCAGAGAAGCCAGAGCAGCTCTACCTTACCAGGATCAATGCCCTGCTGACAGAGTGCCTGAAGCTCATCGAGGAGGTGGGAGTGGGAAAGAGGCTACGTTACCAGGCTGCTCTTTTCTTGAAGCAAAGCATTCTTGCTTGGCTTAGGAAAAGTCACCAAGCTCGATTCACCCCTGGAGTTGAGGACATGCAGTGAGATGCATTGACAAGGAACGTGGATTGATAGCTACTGTACAGGCGTCCCTGCGGTTGTCCTGATGTGTAGCAGTGCATCTTGCAGCAGGGATTCCTGCAGCAGCAGCCCAGGCTGGTTGAACCACTCCAGGATATGTCCCTGGTGGGCCCCACTGCTGGGAATGCCATCTGCTAGCCCAGCTCTGGGTTTGGTGGCCCTGCTGGTGCCTGTGCTGAAAAATCTGTCCCTCAACTTCCCTCTGAAATGCTAGGCTCATTTTATTGAGGGAAAATGGAGGCAGAAAAACTGTATAATCTGTCCAAGGTCACGTAGGAGATTTGTGGAATGTGAGTGCAAAGTGCAGGCTTCAGACCATCCTCCTTTTTGCCTTCTGTCTGGGAGAACGTTGGCATGCAGGCAGCTCTTCAGTGTCCACCTCTTCTCCAGCACTTCACCCTTTTCTTGCAGGGTGTCCCATCAGAAGAGCTCTCAACAATACTATGCCATGAGCCCAATGCAGAGAAGTGTGCCAAGTTCTGGATCTGCAAAGCCAAGCTGCTTGCCCGCAACGGCCCTTTTGATGTGACAGGGCTGTATAAAGCAGCAGTCTGTGCTGGTGCTGAGGTGAGTAAGGAACCCTTTGGTACCTCCTGTGCACCAGCAGATTGCCCCAAAGGGGTCAGATTTTGGGATCAGTTTAGCAGTCATTGGTGAAAAAGGCCTTTAGAGCTATAAGTCCTGGTTGCTTCCACAAAACCACTTCAGGCAGTGTGTGCACAGGGCCAGAGGAGGGCAGGGAGGGCTGTGAGTGAGCTGGCAGCACGTTGAGCCTGGTCTGCACAGTGTAACTGCAGCACCTGGGGTGGGCATCTGCACACAGATCTGGTGAAGGGAAAAGCTGTGGCCATCTGCACTTCCCTGAGCGAGGCAGCAGGAGCCTTTTCTCCTCTTCTTTCTGAACTGTAGTCTTCTTTCCTTGCCTGCCTTGACCTGTGTCCTGATTTCTATTTTATTTATTTCTTTATTTTTTGCAGCCACTCCAGGAGCTCAGAGAAGTTGTCCTTGATATTTTGAAGACTGCAGAACAACCATCAGAAGGTAACACGTGCATGCAGGGGCTGGCTGGCTGGCTGGCAGGCTGGTGTTCCCCATGCTTTGCAGTCTGTCCCAGCACCCCGTGTCCCTGATGACTTTGCTGAGCACTGAGCATTGTGAAAGTCCAGAACCCTCATCTCAGAAATGGGGCAAAATCCCTCTGCCAGAGCTGAGCCTGGCACACCACGCAAGGTGCGCTGGGTTATGTCCAGAGCTCTGCAGTGTTGTAGTTCCCCCTGCACCTGCAGCTCTCTTCCCTCTCTACAATCCTGCTGCCCTTTTTTACATCCAAATGAAGGCCACAAGTCACAAGTACTGTCCCCCAAGGGTCCATCTTGGGACTGGTGCTTCTCAACATCTTTATCAACACCATAAATGGTGGGATCTAGTGTACCCTCAGCAGTTTGCAGATGCCACCACACTGAATGGTGCAGTTGACGTAACAAAAAGGAGGGATGCCACCCAGAGGGACCTGGGCAGGCTTCAAAAGTGGACCCGCATGAACCTAATGAGGTCCAACAAGGCCAAGTGCAAGGTATTGGGGTGGGGCAATCCTAGGTTTGGTTAGCTAGGAGAAGAGAAGACTGGGGACACACATTGCGGCCTTCCAGTCCTTGAAAGGAGCTTACAAGCAGGAGGGAGGCTGACTTTTCGCACAATCTGATAGTGGTAGGGCAAGGGGGAATGGTTTTGAGCTTAAAGAGGGGAGATTTAGATTAGATGATAGGAGAAGATTCTTTACTCATGGGGTGTTGAGCCACTGGAACAGGTTGCACAGAGAGGTTGTGGGTGCCCATCGCAGGAGGCACTTGAAGCCAGGTTGGATGGAGCCCTGAGCTGGTGGTTGGCAACCCTACCCATGGCAGCAGGTTGGAGCTGGGTGATCTTTAGGATCGTCCCCTGTGACCAAAGCCACTCTGATCTATGGCTTCCCTCTCTCCTGTCAGGGGAAAAGTCTGAGCAACACCTTCTGTGGGAGCCCACAACACCTTGCCCAGGTGAGAGGCAGCACACGGCTGTGACTCCGTGCCAAACAGAGCGCGCCCTGAGCAGCCTGCCTGTCTCCTCCATCAAGCTACAAGTGACGTCTGTGCCCAGGTGAGGCTAAGCTGCTATCAGCAAGCACCCTGTGCCATTCTCTGTGGGCTTTGCCTCACTCACGCTTTTTTTTTTCCTCCCTGTAGAGCGAGGGAGCTGCCAGAAGCCCAAGAGCTGAAATTCCTGACGCCAGTGCGGCGCTCACTGCGCATAGAGAGGGCTGGGAGCCGCTACCCGGAGATGCTGAGGGACCACGACCCTGTGGTGTCGTCCCTCAGCGAAATCCTGGATGATGATGATGAGGAGACTCAGTTCTTTTTCCGGAAAAACAAAGCTTTGCCAGAGGTGGCAGAGATGGAGGTTTTGAATCTGTAGCCCCAAATGTTGCTGAGGAGATTCCCTGAGGGCTGCTGGCTCACCCGCGCTGCCTTGCACTTACACTTACACTGTTGCCTCTCAGATGTAACTGTGCAGGGGTAGCCTTTTTCTGCCTTTTTCACTGTTTTTAAGTGTTTAAAACTTTACACTAGAGATGTAGCGTGAGCTGGTGGGGTGGGGGGCAAGGTTTGGGATTGGAGATGTGGGCTCTGTGCTGTTGGGTTAGCCATTGGCTCCTCCACCCCAAAGCACAGCCTGGTTTTTGTGCTGGCCGATGGTTCTGGTCGCTGCAGTGCTCTGAGTGCCTCTCAGGGCTTGGGAAGTGACATCCCAAGGGTTTGCTCCTGAAGAAGGAACACACAGGTCTGGGACCACCCTGCTGCCTCCTGCCACCAGGAGAGCTGTGCTCAGCCTCAAAGCCAGCAGTGCTGTGAGAGCACCCAGAGCCTCGGGTGCTGCAGGTTCCCCCCTGTAGGAGGAGCACAATGGTTCTGCTAATGGTAAGCATAGAGCAGAGCCCCATCTTCATCTTCCTGCCCCTAGCAAGCAGCAGTCCTGCTGCCCCACTGCTCCTTGCACTCAGCTTTGTGAGCGTCTTTACTGAGGAACCTCAGCTGGCTGAGGAGCTGCGGGAACAGCAGAACCAGCAGTGCAGGACTGCCCCAGGGCTTGCATGCAGACATAGCACTTGTCCCAGCTGCTGGCCCAGGCCTTAGAAATTGCCCTTTGCTCCAATCTTCCCCAGTCTTGGGGTAAAGGAATTTTCCTTTGCAAAAAAAAAATATAATTTATGTCTCTTCTATTACTCTGTGACTCCAATAAAACTTTGGCAGAAGTTAACGTGCCTTTTATAAATAGACAAAGGTAAAGAAGGGGAGAGGTTGGGACTCTTAGCAGGTAAAAGGGAGCAGCACTGGCCCCAGGCCCTTGTTATGTTTGGGCACCATCCCCCCAGAGCAGTTTCCAGTGCTGGAGCTGATTGAGAGCTGCTGGGTGCACTTGTGCTGCCCTGCAACAGCTCGTGGGTGTGGAGGAGGGAACCGTGGTGCTGGACGTTCTGCTGCTATCAGCCCCGGGGGCAGCGCCTGGTGTCTGCTGGGGATTGGCACTGCTGAATCAGCAGCTGTGGGCTCAGGCCTCACCATCCTCTTCCTCCTCTCCGCTGGAGTCCTGGGGGAGCCCCAGGTCCTGAGACAGACAGAGGGGCTCAGTGAGCACTGGGCTGTGGGTGCTGGGTGCCCGGCTCCTGTGCCACAGCTCTGCCCCCACCTGCTGGCTGTGCTGCTCCAGCTGCAGCTCCAGGGCTGTGCTTCCCTCTCCAGCGTCCACAGGGCCGTGCTCCACCGTTGACTCATGGGCCATCTGCAGCGGGGACGGGCGGGAGCAGGGCTGGCACCCGGCTCACGATGGACTTGGGGACATCAGAGGGGCAGGGAGGGAAACTGAGGCACGGCGCCAGGCGTACCAGGACAGACGGTGCCCGGAAAAGGTAACTGAAGGGGTAGTAGAGGAAGTTGAGGAAGGAGGCAGCATAGAGGTCTGCATAGCGCATCAGCTGGCTGGCAAACAGGGTCTGGCGCGAGCCGCAGCGGAAGAGGCTGCCCATCTTCCCGTAGCACATGTCCATCTCATGCGTGACTTTCTGTGGGCACAGCGGGCGCTCAGGGCACCGATATCCCATATGTGGGCTGCTCTGGGGATGGGGATGGTGGTCCTGGCATCACCTGGATGCGACGTTTGATGGAGCTGATGTCCGGGCGCTCGCTGCTGCCGCTGTCCAAATGCCTGCGGTGGGAGCGGGGGGCTCACAAGGGCCCTTTGTGTCCCCCCTCCGGGTGCAGGGACCCCAGAGTGGTGCCCACTCACTGGTACAGCTCTGCCAAAAACAGGTCCAGGCTCCGCAGCTCCTCAAACAGCTCTGCTGGGGCAAAGCTCCAGCTCAGTGCCAGCACTGTGGCCGTCCCCGGCGCTGGCGGAGCACCTGAGGGCCCTGCAGGGAGGGGAGGGCACGGCTGGGGCTGCTCACCGCTCTTCTCCGTCCACACCTGCAGCTCATGGGCCAACTCGGGCACCACCAGGAAGGTGCGCCAGCCCTGCCGCTTCTTGGACTTGAGGATGTCCCCGAAGATGTGGTCCCCCATGTACAAGATGTCCTTGCCCTTCACGCCCAGCAGGTCGCACACCAAGTCTGACGAGCCTGGGACAACAGGATGGCGTGGGGTCACCGTGTCACTGTGCCACTGCGTCCCAGTGCCACCACATCCCTGTGTCACTGCAACCCCATATCAGTGCATCCCTGTGCCACCATGTCCCACTGTCACTGTAACCCTATATTACTGCACCCCAGTGCCACTGCGTCCCAGTGCCACCACATCCCTGTGTCACTGCAATCCCATATCAGTGCATCCCTGTGCCACCATGTCCCACTGTCACTGTAACCCTGTATTACTGCCCCCATCACTGCACCCCAGTGCCACCACATCCCTGTGTCACTGCATCCCCATATCACTGCATCCCTGTGCCACCGTGTCCCTGTCCCATTGCAACCCTGTATCACTGCATCCGTGTGCCATCGTGTCCCCATGCCACCATGTCCCTGTGTCACTGCACCCCTGTATTACTGCAATCCTCTGTCACTGCATCCCGCTGTGTCTCTGTGTCACTATCCCAGTGCCACCACGTCCCTATGTCACTACATACCAGTGCCACCACATCCCTGTGCCACTGCAATGCCCTGTGCCACCACGTCCCTCCATCACCGTGTCACCCAGCCAAGCACTCACCACCAGAGTAGACAGCACAGTGCTGGAGGGGCCCCGTGTACGTCCCGATGCGCAGCTTCCCCGTGTCCTGTGAGCACAGAGCAGCCCATGGTGTCACTGCACCCCATGGCTGGTGGGGGCGGGGGGGACGCGTGGTGCCCTGATCCCCACCGTGTTGACTTGGCGCAGGACGGTGCCCTCGGCAAAGAAGAGTGGCTTGCGGGTGTCCACCACAATGAGATCGAAGTAGGAGCGCCAGGGCCGTGGGGGGGTCCCAGTCTGCTTGGAAGGGGGGCGGGTGAAGGTGACACAGGGATGGGGTTACGGTTGGGTGGGGGCACCCCCAGCCCCAGCATGGCTGTCCCCTCACCTCGTCCTCATCACTGAAGTCGAACAGGTAGGACATGATGGCCTGCAATGACATGTGGTGTCACCTGGGAGGGCGGCGGGGTTGTGGGGGTCACCCTGAGCTTTGCCCCCCCCCACTCCCCCCAAAGCAGCAATGCCACCACTCACATCGGTGTAATTGTAGTCGCTGTTGGTGGCCAGGAACACCTTCCCCACCTCCCTCATGCGGCTCAGCAGCAGTGGCACACGGGGCTGGGGGGGCACAGTGAGAGCCGGGGGGGGGGCACACAGAGAATGGAGGGGCACACGGGGACTGAGGAGGGTCTGGGGGCCTGGGGGGGGCTCACAGACACTCACGTCTTTCACCACGTATTTCTCCAGGTTCTCCAACGTCTTCTCCTTCAGGCAGCCCTGCAGGGAGGGATGGGTGGTGAGGGGGTGGCAGAGGGTTGGAGCTCCCCCCCCAAACCTGCAGGGGCCACGGGGCCCCCAGCGCTGCCCACAGCCTCACCGAGAGGTGCACCTGGTCCATGGCCTCACGCACGTCCTGGAACATGCTGCGGAAGGACATGAAGAGGTTCCCATGCTTGTAGCCGGTGTCGCAGCTAAAAATGGGCAGAAAAACAGGGGGTGAAGGTGCTGCACAGCGGGGGGACCCCTGGATCCCCCCCACCCCCCCAATTCTGAAAACAAACTCCACATTCCGCTCACCTGATGTATTTGGGGCAGTTGGAGAAGAAGTCCACCAGACAGGCGTAGAGGTGGGTCTCTGCCGTGGGAGGGGGCTGTGAGGGAGGCAGCACCCCAAAAGGGGGGAGGTCTGGGGTCGGGGGGAGGGGGGAGCTCACCCGTGAGGTTGAAGAGGGTGTTGAGGATGTGGAAGCGCTTCATGTCGTCCCGCTGGATGAACTTGTTGGGGTAGTAGTGCAGGATCTCAGCTCTGCAGAGGGGGCACGGGGCGGCTCAGCCCCTCCAACCCAAACCCCAACGCTACTGAGGGACCCCCAACCCCCCCCCCCAAATAAAAGAAATACACACAGACCCCCGGAGGAAGCGGAAGCCGTGGGCGCAGACCAGCAGGTTGCCATGCGAGTCCACCTTCAGCAGGTTCCCATAGAGCGCATCGAACACCAGCCCCCTGTGGGACCATAAGCAGGGCAGGGGGGTCGCAATGTGCGTGTGCCCCCCCACCCCCGACCCCAGACCCCAGCACTCACCGGGTGGGGAAGGTGGGGTCGTATTTGTAGGCCAGGATCTCGTGGGGGTACCCGATGGACACCAGGTGCTCCAGCAGCAGCCTGAAGCCCAGCTCCTCGTAGGCGGGCGATTTGTACACTGCACAGCCGAGGGGCCACGTGGGTTTGGGATCGGGGGTCTCAGCCCCCCCCCACCCCCACCCCGCCCCACGCACTGGCCAAGGTGTAGTCCATGTCGAAGCCGAAGCACTTGATCTTCTCCAACGCCAGGCTGCGGTTCACGAAGATCCTGGGGAGGGTGGGGGGGAGGACAGCAGTGTGTCACGGGGGGGCGGGATGGCGCGGAGCCGCCGGAGCGGCGCGGGACACGGGATGGGGGTCTGCCGCCCCGGCTGAGCGGCCCTACAGTGAATTATTGGGGCAGAAAACAAAATCCGTTGGGGATTTAACCAACAGAAATTTGGGGGGGGTGGGGAGAGG